GTTGGAGCAGAAGGAGGAGGAAGGAAGGAAGGAAGGAAGGAAAGGAAAGGAAAGGAAAGAAAAGGAAGGAAAGGGAAAGGAAGAAGAAAAAGGAAGAAGAAGACGAAGTAGAAGAGAAAAAGGAAAAAGATAGAAAGGAAGATAAGAAGAAGAGACGAAGGATAGGAAGGAAGGAAGGAAGAGAGAGAAAAACAAAAGAAGACAAAAAAAAAGAAAGAAAAAGAAGGAAGTAAAGAAAAAGGCATCTTTGTACCTCGTCGAGGCATGCCGAGGATCCGTACGAGGACCACCATCGAGGATCGCGCGTAAAAGCTCGACAGGAAACGAGAGAGAGAGGGTAGACGCGCTCGAAGAGCCAGGTAACCAATACAACGACAATGCATATTATTAATTTTTTTGTTAGTTTATTTTTTTGTTTGATCTATTTGTTTGTTCGTTTATTCGTTCGTTTGTTCGTTCATTAGTTAGTTTTTTACTTTTCCTGTATTTTTTTTACTTTCTCTCTCTCTCTCTCTCTCTCTCTCTCTCTCTCTCTCTCTTTTCTTTTCTTTTCGTACAATTTTCAGACTTGTTTTTTAAAAAGAAGAAAAAAAAAAGAAAAGATTAGGTAATATTATTAATAGTAATATAAATGCGAACGATGAAATATTAATTTTGTCATATTATATAAATGAATTAATATAATTTTAATGTTACGACTAATACGAATCAATATATATATATATATATGACCGTGAATCGATAATTTATTACTACAATTTGTCGCAGCATCTTTTTGAGAATGATCGTTCTCTCTCTCTCTCTCTCGTTCTCTCTTTCTCTCTTTTTTTACTCTTTCTCTTTCTCTCGATCGATCGATCTCTTTTTTCTCTCTCTCGTTTCTCTTTTCTTTTTTTTTTTTTTCTTGTTTCCTTTTTTTTCTCGCGTGTCTCCCTTACCGACGGCACGTAGTATTCTACGTCGTTGCTCTCTTCAATCAGGATGGCCGTCTCCTTCTCACATTTTTGTATACATTTGTATTCGTTATATACCTATATATATATATATATATATATATATATATATATATATATATAAATTTGCTAAATCTATGAATATTATTCCCTTTTTTCTTTTTTTTATATACGAGAATAAAGAAAGAAAGAAAGAGATAGAGAAAGATGATGGGAGGTTGTACATACAGGTTTCTTGAATTTTTATATGTTAATTCTTTTTTATATAAAAAAAAGAGACAGAGAATGAGCGAGAAGAGAGAGAAAGAGACATAAAGTGAGATAAAGAGAAAGAGAGAGAGAGAGAGAGAGAGAGACGATCGATTCTCGTGATTCTCTTAACGTTCGATGGCCAATATCGCACCTTCCACGAGGCAGCTTTTCTTTATTCCCTTTTAGTAACGCCAACCGGCACGAGACGAGACTCGTGATCGCTATGACGTTGCTTAATAATAATAGTAATAATAATAATAATAATAATAATTGTAGTAAAAGTAATAATAGTAGCAGTAGTGATGGTAATGGTGATTGTAGTGGTGACACTACTACTACTATTATTACTACTACTACTACTCCTACTACTACTACTGCTACTACTGCTACTATTGCTACTGCTGCTGTTGTTGGCGCTGCTGTTACTACTGCTACTGCTGCTACTGCTGCTGTTGCTGCTGTTAACTACCCCTTTTCGTATGCAGCAAAAGCCGTCAGAGAAAGAGAAAGGGAGAGGGTGAAAGAAACAGAGAGAGAGAGAGAGAGAGATAGAGAAAGAGAGAGAGAAAGAGAGATATTGATCGGCCATCGATTATCACGGTCGAACGATTCTCTTCTTTTCGATCACCCTCTCGATGGTCTTTTCCTTCGACTTCCTTTACCACTTGTATTATTTACAGAGGAAAGACGATCAATTAGAAACGAATATCTAATAATTAGAAATTTATTTTTCCTCACTTTTTTCTCTATCCCAACCCCTCGCTCCCTCTCCCCGTTCCACCTCCACCCGCACGTGGCATCCTTAAAATTTTTACAATGTGAATCCTTTTAAAAACGTCGGGGATATTATTAATTGTGTGGATGAAGACGTTTTTATTCCTATCCGAGAAAATATTTTTATTAGACAAATATGGATAAATTTTTAACGTAGGAAGATTATATAAATTGCCGTCTAATGGATTAGAAATTTTATATATATATATATATATATATATATATATATATACACATAAAAATTTCTAATCCATTAGACGATGATTTATGTAATCTTCTTTCGTTAAAAATGTGTATACGCACACACATACACGCACACACACACACACACACGCATACATACATACAAAATTCTTCTCTTATCTTATAAGATAAATATATAAATTCGTAATGAACGACCGTCGATAAAAAATTTTTCTATATATATATATATAAAATTAAATATATACATATTTAAAAAGAATTAGAAGGAAAGTATTTCTCTTTGTCTGTCAAGAATGCGCCCATCTATACGCACAAATCCATAAATTGATATATCACGAATAGAGTTACGATAGAAAATTTTTATTTTTGATATAATTATTAAATGGGGGGGAGGGGAAAAAAAAGAAAGAAGACAATTTATTCTACTATTAATTTTCTAATGAATACAATCATCAGTAATGAAATGGAATTGGATTCTATTAATTTCAATAATATTATTCGTGGATTAGAGCAGGATCGCGCATTTGGTTAGAGAATTCGCTCCTCGTTCCTCTCTCTCTCTCTATATCTCTCTATCTCTATCTCTATCTACCTCTCTCTCTCTCTCTCTCTCTCTCTCTCTCTCTCTCTCTCTCTCTCTCTCTCTCTCTCTCTCTCTCTCTCGCTGGCTGGTTGCCGATGGTTCGATTATTTCGCGTGAATTAACGGCCACATTGACAAAGCTATCGGATAGAGACGGTAAGCCGTACAATCGGTTATGGTGGAACCTCCTGTGGTAAGGCTTATTGCCTTAGGTCTCGGGAGGGAGAGAGAGAGAGAGAGAGAGAGAGAGAGAGAGAGAGAGAGAGAGAGAGAGAGAGAGAGAGAGGGAGAGAGAGAGAGAGACCAAGTGATAAATTTCTACTAGGCTTAAGCTCGATGCACCAGGAGTACGATCGAGCAACCTTCCTCGAGGTCGTCCGTTCGATAAAGTTCTGACCAAATCGGAAACGACGATGATATTACTTTATTATTATGTCAAAAATATTATTACATTAATAGTGATAATAAAAATAACTCGTGTTATTGTTATTTAAAATCATTATCAATCCAATGTACGTTGCTTGTAATAATTTAATACTACGCATGATATTTGGAGTAATTTTTTCTCTTTTTTTTTTTTTTTTTTTTCTTTTTTTTTTTTGTTGGATACTATTTGATATCATGAACTAATCATCATTTACAATCTGTGAGGTGATAAGTTTTCAAAAAGTAGAAAAAAAAAAAAGAAAAAGAATAGAAAAGAAATAATATCAATAATAATTATAATCGTAATATGCGTGACTTATCTTAAAGGTTTCGATCAATCTTAAAGGTTTAATGTTAAAAGAAAAAAAAACAGAAAAAAAAAGTAAGAAGAAAAAAGAAAAAAAATTATATAATGTAAATAATACATAATGCATATATAATGAATTTTATGATATTATTATCTTAACAAGATATATATATATATATATAATTGTTATATCGAAAGTAAAAAAAAATTGTTCTATATAAGAAGGGCGAATATTGTTTTTTTTTTCCATTTTTCTTTTCCTCCCTTTCCTTTTCTTTTCTTTTTATCTATTTATTTGTTTATTTATTTGTTTTCTGTCTTTTTTTTTTTTTTTTATTTTTTTTTTTTGTTTAACAAAATTTCTTTCCTCTCATTCTCATCAATTACTTTCCACTCTCTATTTTTTTCAATTTTTCTTTGCTCTGATACGAATGTCATTATTATCGTCACGCGAATTATATCACGAATTATATAAACATTCGAATTTTCGTTTTCTATTATGTACGTGACAGAAACAAAATCGAGGTTCTAAGGAAGTCTATGAAAGAAGAAGGACGATGGTACACGGCTATCGAAGTATCGTCATACTTTTCTTTTTTTTTTTTTTTTTTTTCTTTTTTTTTTTTCGTCGTTTTTCGAAGCAAACCTTCTTTCTCTCTTAGTTCTCTCGGTGTACTAAACAGAGAAAAAGAGAAAGAGAGAGAGAGAGAGAGAGAGAGAGTTCTTTAATATTGCACACGTTACCGAGGGCTTCAAGGGTGGCACAATGTGCCACGGCTAAGATGACGAAAGAGAGTAAAGGGCTAGGGAAACTTTCTCTCTCTCTCTCTCTCTCTCTCTCTCTCTCTCTTTCTTTCTTTCTTTTTCTTTCCCTGTATTATAAAAGAGTCTCATGATGGTAAATCGTGCGAGAGTCCGAATAAGAGACCGCGAATAGAGAACGGAATAATAATAATAATAAGAAAAAAGAAAAAAAATGAAAAAGAGAGAGAGAGAGAGAGAGAGAGAGAGAGAGGAAGAACCGATATTGCGAAGTAAAACAAAGGTTCTAGGATTTTTATCGTTTTTCGTGCATTCCATTCGCTTCTCCCTACTCCTCTCCTCCCTCCTCCACTCCTCCCTCTCTCTCCTCCTTTCTTTTCCTTTTTGAACGATATCGTTCGAATAAATTCCGCTATCCGAAATTCAAATCATACCTTTATCGAATGCATTCCTCCATTCATTCGATTTTGGACTTGTTACGTATAATGCTTTTATTATTATAATTATTATTATTATTATTATTATTATTATTATTATTATTATTTATTTAATTTAATAAATTTATCCAATATATTCTTTATTATCGATCATCGATGTGGATTAAATATGTCTACTGAAGAGAAAAAAAAAATGAAAAAGGATAAAAAAGAAAAACAAAGAAAAGGAAGAAAGAAACAAATAGAAAAGAAAAGCAATATAAAGAGAATGAGAGAGAAGAGAGAGAGAGAGAGAGAGAGAGAGAAATTTCACGAATGAGACGAAGAAAATCTTGAAACTCTCTGTAAAGAAAATGACTGTAACTAAAGCAACGAGCTGGTTGATGACAACGATGGAGTCTTTTCTTGGACAGAGAGAGAAAAAAAAGAGAGAGAGAGAAAGAGAGAGAAAGAGAGACAGAGAGACAGAGAGAGACACGAGGATGAGGCCATAGGGTGTTTCTTGAAAAGGGAGGAACATTTTGTTAACGGGGGTGGATGGTAAAAAGAAGTTGTTTGTGAGAGAGTGAGAGAGAGTGAGAGAGAGTGAGAGAGAGAGAGAGAGAGAGAGAGAGAGAGATAAAAAGGTAGAAAGGTAGTGAAGAGAGCAGACAATAAAGCGA